AAGTGTGCGGGAGTGTCAACCTCCATAATGAAAATAAATGAAATCTATATGCATGACCTTCCTGCGCTACCACCCACAATACCAAAACATTACCGTGACGTTTCAGTTAGCGGCCTGTGCAACCTGGCTCACACTGATGCGGGTCCACGCACAGCTGCTCATAAGTGTTACAGATACTGTTATAAGTCTTTACAACTTAGCATGGAGATGAAACATTGTTATGTAACAGACAGTGGTAGTACTTTTTTTACAAAGTACTAACCTGCAAATTCAGGAGCAATGAAGACACAGTGCACTCAGTTTGCCTCTCAGATTGCATCTGATTAGTGGGCGGAAGTCCATCCCCCTAAAGCAACTGGGGTGCAACTGCCTTGAAATAATAGTTCCACCTGAGGTGTTGCTCCATTTTTCTGTCCTTCTGCACAGTCCATGTGACAAAATAATATACTGCCTGAATTGGTCATGTTACCAAAGTCATTTTGAATATTCATAGTCACAGAAAATAACAAATAAACAAATTAAATAAATTAAATTAGATGATTAACACAAAAGTGTTCACACATTTTGGGTGTGCCACACTATTCCTAACTACTGTCTTTCCCCCTCCTCAGAAAACTGTTATTAAATTAATGAAATTATGTACTAAATTGATTTGGGGGACAAACCGCAAAGTAACTCAGAGGAAATTAATGTACAAAGGAAAAGAAAATAGAGGTTTAAGAGTGCCAGATCTGGGTATCCTTTTAAAGATTCCCTTTTTGAAAAATGTATATACCATATTAGAGCGCAGCACCCACTGGATCCAAGGGAGGGAAAAAATGAAAGGGAGAGCCCGAACGGGAGTGGCATACTTTAAACGTGTTTGGGGATTTGGTAGATAAGTGGAAATTTGGTGGTTTAAATCTTTTACGATTAAATTCAAAACAAATGTATAATGAAATCAATCTGAAAAAAAAAACAAAAAAAAAACAAAACAAAAAAAAACGAAGGTATGATACAATATAATTTTGCTGAAAAAGAATAAAATCAGAAAATAGTTCATATCTGAGAAAATGAGAGATACAGTGTGGCTTATCTTTGTCGGACGTCTCCCATTAAGAGCTGTGGTCCTGTGGAGTTGTTTCGTTACTACAAAGAAATGCACTATGGAGAATTGTGATGAGGTCAAAACTCTTGATCATCTATTGATATCATTTTACAGGATGGTTGAAATAAGACAGAAGATGGATAAACTCTGTTTTGATATTGAAAACAAAACAAAAGCAGTAAGATATGGTTTGTTTAAAGAAAAGATGAGTGAAAATAAAAGAAGATTGTTTTGGTTGGTAATGTACATTATAAATTTATACATATGGAAAACAAGGGCTAAAGGGGTTATAGAACAAAAAATGATAGGTAGTTCCGTAGTATGTAAAAACATTGTAACTGAGCTGAGGAGGAGGAGAACTAGATATGAATCTATGTAACGACTTGCTGTGGGTTTTTTTTATCTTTGTAAAATGTAAAACATAAGGTGAATATTTTCTGCATGGTGTCTATATTATGTGTATTTGTAATTTTGATATTTACATTAAATATTTAAAAAAAACAAACCAAAAAAAAAAACCCTAAACTAATACACACGAAGAGACACTGGGAAACACACAGCATGAGGGACAATGCAACACTGACACAGAGAAAAAGGGCTTAAAAACACTGGGGATTAACGAGGGGAATGAGACACAGGAGGAGAATACAGCTGGGAGAAGTCAGACATGACAGACCAAAGGGAAGCAAAACTAGAAACACTGACATGAGACACAGACTTTCAAAGTAAAACAGGAAACACACTGACTGAACTCTAGACATGTAAACTTCACAGAGAGTGGGGAGACAGAACATAGAGACCTGAAATGTAGGACAGAAGGGAACAGAGTTAACACCAGGAAACCAAATAACAAAAACTAAGAATTATAACTCGGAAGGTACTATAGAACTAGGGAGCTAGCAATACTAGGACAGAAACCAAAGCACAGTCATAATCCATGATAAAATCAAATGTAAAGTACACAACTCAAAACACTGGGTCACCGACCTAGGACAGTGACAAAACCTTTATTATCCCACGGATGAGAAATTTCGGTATTACAGAGCTCTTACAGCAAGGGAAAATAAAATATAAAAGGAAGACACAAGGTGGTCCTATAAACATTTAATTTCTTTATTTATTTCACACATGGTTCAACAGTGTTTCGTTTCCTACATACAGAACCTCCTTCCCATTAATATAACACTGCACCCATGGGTGAAAAGGAGCAGGAAGAAGACTAAATTCTTGTTAGCACCTGCCCCCTATCTGCAATCAAATTATTCTTACAAGAGGGCGCCAATAACACAATACAAACAAACTTTGTAACTTAAGAGGCAATGTACTACTTCTTGCCTTGCACATGAATAATAATGTCTGTAAGTTCACCAAGTCTTCGAATTTCAACAATTTCGATTTTATAAACAGATAATTTGTATATTCTCTATATTTAACATTATGAACCATTTGTACCACTTTCTTCTGTAACAAGTATAAAGGATTTCTATAAGTCACATATGTATCCCCCCACACCTCAGCACAATAACTGAGATAGGGGAAAAATATTGAGAAATATAAAATATGCATTGCCCTATAATGTAGTATATCTCTGACATTATCCAGAATATAAATATTTTTAACCATCTTTTTTCTAACATGTTCAATATGAGATTTCCATTTTAATTTATCATCCAATACTATCCCCAAAAAACGGAGTTCAGTAACTCTCTCAATTAGAACTCAGAATCAGAACAGAATTACTTCATCCTCTTTTACCTGATTTCCAAAAATCATAAATTTAGTTTTTGTCAAGTTCAAAGATAATTTGTTTACATCAAACCATTTTTTTTTAGTTTTTCCATTTCAGAAACCATTAATTCAGCCAATTCTTTCAATTTATCCCCAGCACAATAAAAAACTTGTATCATCTGCAAACAAAATGAGATTTTACATTTTGGACACATCGCAAATATCATTTATATATAAATTAAAAAGTTTTGGTCCCAAAACAGACCCTTGAGGAACCCCACATTCAACTTTCAGTCTTTCAGAGGAATTGTCTAAATAATGCACATACTGGGACCTATATTTTAGATAACTACTTAACCAGTTTAATGGAATTCCTCTCACCCCATAAGTATTAACCTCCTAGGACCTGCCGTCCACATATGAGGACATCACATTTTGGGTTATGTAGACCAAAATAACTACAATCTACAAGGGCCTGAAATCCACTTACGGGGACATTATACTGCTACTGTTTTATCGAAATTTTCAATGAATATCCTCATATGTGGCTCTCATTTTTTTAGAAACAAAAATCTGGTAAAAAAAAAAAAAAAAATCTGGTAATTCTTGTTTTTACATTCATCAGGTCCCAATCAGCCCAAATATCAAAGAGGAATTAAAAATGCATACCGTGGAAGAGTTTGTGTCTTAGGATGTTAAGCTTTGAAATCAAAATAGAATGTTGGAGCGTATCAAATTATTTTTTTAATTCAATAAATACCCCTATTGTATATTTATTATTGTCTGTTGCACATAAAATATCGTCAATAGTAGTCATCAATGCTAATGCCGTTGATCTATTTTTCCAAAATCCATATTGATTTTCACTTAGTAATTGATGTTTTTCAATAAAGCTATCAAGTCTTTCCACAAAAAGTTTTTCAAGTACTTTAGAAAACTGTGACAGAAGTGACACTGGCCTATAATTATTAAAACTATGTTTATCTCCCTTTTTATACAGAGGTATCACTTTCGCCACTTTCATTCTGTCAGGAAATACACCAGTATGGAATGAAAGATTGAAAATATGACAAAGTGAAGTAATTATACAGTCCAAAGTCTTTTTAACTATAACCATATCTAAACCATCGCAATCAGTAGATGTCTTATTTTTAGTCTTGTTTAAAATTGCTGCAATTTCTTTTTCAGTGATATCAGTTAAAAATATAGATTTAATTACTCTGCTTTCACCTTTCCAATGATCCTTTTGTTCTAACTTATCATGTTTTCTGATTAGATTCGCCAAATTAGGGCCAATATTTACAAAAAAGGAATTTAATTCATGTACCACTTCATTCATGTCCTTTATAATCTTATTTTCCTTATAAAAATACTTACGCACATCTAAGGAAACATTCTTATTGTCTAATATCTCTCTGAAAATACTCCAAATACCCTTTATATTATATTTCTTTTCTTGAAATAGTTTGTTATAGTATTCTTTCTTGGCCTTCCTCAATATTAATACTAGCCTATTTTTATAGACTTTATATTTCATTTCCAATTTCACGTCCTGGAGCACTTCCGTTTGCGTTTGCTTCTTTATGTGAATAATCCTCTACTAAATATCCCACACATTTTATCAGTATTAAATTCTTTCTGATATTTATCGGGATATAAGCTTAACATCTCCAAAAGCGAATACTTTCCAGTTAATCAAATGGCTGCAGACATACCTACATCAACTATACCCTTTCAAATTGCTAATTCGGGGTTTAATTATCTCAGAATTGCAATTTCACGATCTCTGAGATTAATACGGGAACAGAATATCACTTTACTTACAATGAAAGTTAAGTCTGATCTTCAAAGATGGAACTACCTACCGCTGTCTTTAGCTGGTAGGATTCAAATGATTAAGTGAATGTAAATGCAAAGCCTGTATGCTTATATTTAAATGTTAATATTTATTCTGATTCACTTCCCTTTCAAATAATTATTGTTGATAATTTTGTTTTTTAAGACGATTTTTTTCTTTTTTCTCATTCACACTCATCATCACACTGCCTGCATCCTCGAATGTTTAAGCTACAGACCACAAAATATGAGGACCACATTTACTGTTACACATTGGCTCTAATTAATAATTTGCTAATGAGTTGTTAGAGTTAAGTGTTTATGCACTGTGTCTTATTGGCCCTTTTAGATTTATGTGATCTGACGCTGGATCCAAACACAGCACACAGGAACCTCAAACTGTCTGACGACAAGAAGGAGGTGACACACGTGAAAGAAGACCAGCTGTATCCTCATCATGATCATAGGTTTGATCCGTGGCCTCAGCTGCTGTGTACCAACAGTCTAAGTGGTCGCTGTTACTGGGAGGTTGAGTGGAGTGGAGAGGTTCATGTTGCTGTAGCTTATGGAGGAATCAGAAGGAGAGGAGAAGAGGATGAAAGCAGGTTTGGAAGGACTTACCAATCCTGGAGTCTCTACTGTCGTGATAATACAGGTCACTATGGAAATCATGATTACATTGGAAGAGCCATCCCTCTTCTCCCTTCAGCTCTCTCTCACAAAGTAGCAGTGTATGTGGACTGCTCTGCAGGAACTGTGTCCTTTTACAGCGTCTCCTCTGATAAACTGATCCACCTGCACACCTTCAACACCACCTTCACTGAACCTGTATATGCCGGGTTTAGAGTGAAGCCTGACTCTAGTATCCACCTCTGTGCTGACTCAGAATAATGAACTTACTGTGGTGTTTCATACTTTTTCGCACTTAACTATTGTAAATGTTAAATCTATCAGGCAAATTGTCTCATACATTGTGCATATATTAGTTTGATTTGCAGTCCAGAGTTGTTGATGGTACTCCTTAAAAATGTCTTTTATCTCTTATTGTTTCGGTGCCTTTTTTAAGAGCAGTTATCAGTTTCTACTAATATGTTACATTTTAAATACCCACAGGACTAGCTGCAGGCTTTAAATATTTTGGGTGTGGGCTTCTTTAATTTTTTACATTGCATAACTATACATTTGTTTTTCTCTCTCTTGTTATGCAAATTCAGTAACAATTCAGTACAAGTAATTCCTGGAAAAAGGCAATATAACCATCATGTGACCAGTTTTCTCAACAGTTGATCCAGATGGTTCTGGACTCATAAGTACTTTATTCATCTGTGTCTATTCAAATGTAGCTTCAAACACTTTAAGTTAACTTAAAGAAGTCCTGACGCTTTTTTTCCCAAGCTCTTTAGACTACGATGACCTGGATGACTGAAAACCTTCACAGACATATTTCTTGACTTATCAGAAACTGTTTTACAATCTCAGAGTTAGATGTTTTTTCTTTCCAAGCTCTTTAGACTACGATGACCTTCACAGACATTATGTGACTGGTTATGTTAAAAAACACAATCCTGAGTTGTAACAGAAATGTGAAGGTGAAGAAGAAAAAAAAATAGATGTAAACAGTGTTTTTTTTTCCCTTGTTGACTTGTTGCATATGAAACAAACACTGAGACAGTGTCAGTGCATAAGGTGTTTACTTCTCCCATGTGCAAACAAACATGTGTTTAATTAACTTTAAACCTTTGTTGTTTAAATATTCTCCAATTGAATTTAAAAACAGCTGTTTTTTAAATAAATAAAAAAAAGGTCTGTTACTGTGTTGCACTGTTTATATAAAACAATAAAATGAAACTGTTTATATCAGGATAAACTGTACACTGTGTTCAGAGGAGGAACAGAGGAAAAAAACAGACAGCAAGATGGTGTTTTTAAAGTGTCTTTGTAAACATTTATACAACAAGTGTATTTATAGCATACAGGTATGCTGCAAGTATGAAACATTACATTATAAATTTTCTGTACAGTATATTAGAGTCGAGACCGGTCTTACTTTTACGTGGTCTTGGTCTTGTCTTGGTCTTGGATCCCTCGGTCTTGTCTTGGTCTCGCTGTCTCGGTCTTGCTTTCTCAGATCGACATAGTGGTCGGGAGATTTGGAGTCAACAGTATCCATGACACACAACGTAACGTTCGATAACGTGTCATCCGCAAAATCTTCAGCTCTAACGATGTGTTCACACCGAACGCGATAGACGCGACCAAAATGCACCAGATACCCCTAACTTGACGTGTGCACATTCGCACCTCGACGCGTGTCCAACGCGAATCATTTGCGCATCAAAATATTCAATTTTGACGCGCGTGAACTGGAAATGTGGGAGGAAGTAGTGCCAGACGGTATGTTTGCAAGATGGCAGCTATCGAGCTAGCGTTTGAAGAGAGAGTCTCCCTTCTCTATTTACTGTGGAGAGCAGAGCAGCGGCGTAAAGGACATCCTCGCCGTACCTGGGTCCATCAGGTCCTCCAGAGCGTGAGCAGTTTGGTGAGTTTCACCACTTGCTCCAGGAGCTGCGCCTGGATGACGGCCGATTCCAGCGCTACCACTCGTCTGTTCCTCGGCCAGTTTGAGGACCTGCTGTCCCGCGTGGTCCAGATCGCCCGCCTAGACACCAACTACAGGCGCTCAATCCCACCTGCAGAGCGCCTGTCCGTCTGCCTGAGGTTAGTAAAAGTATTTAATACGGTAGTCCTTTATTGATACCTGTGCTAATAATATGCTAAACCATCCATTTATACACTGCTAACATGGATGTGCTATGCAAAGTGATGTGAAATTGGTGTCATGACCTGTGTAGTATGTTAACACTATTGGAAGTAAAAATAACTTGAACTCCAATTTTGAAAACACAACTTTCTTTTTTTTTTAATTTTATAAAGCTCTGACTTGTATTATGAGTCTGTGGTCTGGGAGAGAGTCCTGTAACTCTCTGTCTGCAAAATACAGTATAATGACCAATGTTGGGCAATTAATTAATAGTTACTTCTTCAAAAAAGTTACTGAGTTTTGCAAACAACAAGTTTTTTGCAGCTGTTTATAAAAATGCAGCCAAGGCATTTTTTAAATAAACATTTCAAACTATTTACAGAACAAATTTGATGCCACACAAATTATTTGTGCCACTCCAAAACAACACACTAACTTTAGACTCCAAACACGCTAAACGTCGCAAATCTCTCATATCTCAAAACACCGCTGTCACTTCTAAAACCTCCCCCCTTCCGAAACAACTAAATGCCATGTTGCCATATCATTTTTTTGATTGGTCGACATAGTACATTTTTCCAACAATAAGAAAGGGTGGGGTTATTTTTGGTTTTGGTTTTGCAGGCGGAGAGAGAGCTTTCCTTATAAAACGCAGTTTTTACCGTTTCTTCCTGCAGTAAATATAAATACAATCAATGGCAGTATTCAGGAAAACAAAGAAACAAACATTGCATATATATATTTTTTTTTATCATAACTCTGGTTTCACGTGCCTATCAACACAATTTAAAAACTGTTATAAAGTCCACACATCAAGTGTACTTGACTCTGCTGTATGCTGTGTAAATGTGACTTTTGAGCTGGGTGAAATCCGTGAAGCAGAAATAATATTTTATTTTAACATTGCATTGCTAATCATCGGTTGTGGCCAATCAAATTGTATGGTCCGACTATAAATAGTAGCTGCTATTTTGATTCATTCATATTTATTTATTTATATTTATTTTTGGTTGATTAAGGCTGTTCGTACTACTGGTATGTTTGTGGAGTCGGATTAACCACAGAGGACGTATTTGATTTCCCGTTTCGGGTCTATTAATAAGTTGTGTTTTTACTCTGAAGGCCTAAAGTAGAGGTGACTGGGTGCCCTGGTGGTGGGATATTCCGTGGTTCGTGATTATTTATGCATTCGCCCACTGGTAATCCAGGCTCTGAATCAGTTAACAGTACACGTGCAAATACATGATTGCATCTTCTGATGTCTGTTTTAAATAGCTGTCAATAAATTCGTTATTTTACTCCCAATCACGGCTCTGGCTCAAGTGTTACAAACCTTAGAAACTATGTAAATGAACAGGAAGGCACTAACTATAGTTATATAGTTCATTTGCATAGTACATAGTATCTATAGATACTGTCTGTGTGAAACTCCCAGGTTGGCGTAGTCGGGTTTCCCCTGTGACTGTAAAGCTTTAAGCTCCCGATCGCCACAACACCATATTTGTGTTTGCAGAATCTGATGGATTCTGGTCAGCTGTACATAGATAAACCTGACAATATACAGTAAACCCGAGTCTTAAAAAAACGGAATTAACTGAATTTGAATAAATAATAAACAAATTTATTCACCTGTGTTTGAGCCTCAGGCATGGCACCATGCCCCTCCCATGTTTTAAATGTACGTTAGAATAGCATCGTCTTGATGCATTCTCAATCATCCAGGAAAGTAAATCTCCAAAAGTTGATTCTGTTCATCTGGACGTAGCGTTTTGTGGGAGAAACGTTTCGTCACTCATCCAAGTGACTTTATCAGTCTCAGCTAACTGCAGGTTTCCAATCTTATAAACAGTACATTTGCATAATGACTGAAACCAGCCCACTGAAGGAACAATGGGCTGGGAGGTCAGTTCCTTAATCATAATTATGCAAATTCTCATGACCATTGATCAACACCACTGACCAAAACCCACTGATCAAAGACCACTGATCAGTGCATGCATCAACACAATAAGTGAGCGGGAGGAGTGAGGCGTGGGGTCTTCACACACCCCCGTTCTCTGTTCGCCATCTGGGGCAGGGGTTTGGTCGCTGTCTGGGCTAGTGGGCTGACAAGACTGACACACTTTGTACAGTTACATCATAGTCATTGGTTACAACACATAGCAAGGGCGTAGATTTGGTTTTGGCATTGGTGGGGACGGATGATTCAACCACTGAACCCTGCCCTGTTCCTTTTTTCCTTTTTGTCGCTTCTTGAGAAAAAAAAAAAAAGGAGAAATATACTTGCCTACATATGCTATTCTTCATGCTTTTAAATCATTTAAAATTACAGTTCATAGTTTTATATGTGAATTATATAATGTTAATTACTATTAAACAAATGACTGACTACATAGCAGCCTAACAATTGTCATGATAATAAATACTAGTTAATCTATAGCACCAAATCATCAGTCAGTCACCTGTGACCTCGCCTCTTCACCTCTGTCCGAGCTACAACATGGCAGAGCTGCCTCTGTCACCTGATGAATAACAGTGAGCCATTCCACATACATGCAGTCACACATGTGCTTCAAATACAGTCATGAACCACCAAGTCATCATCCAACTTCACCTGTGATTCTTGTATCACCATTACTCCACCACTACACCATTATTAAAACAATTTGTGCAAAGTGCACTCCAAGGTGGAATATTTGCAAAATCATGACTACCTCATGATATTTTGTCTCAAAAATGAACCCTATGAATATGTCAGTACCATTAGGATGAAATTATTGTGTCACCAACATTTTAACGTTAGACACATACTTTTAACAGGCTCTGTAAACTAATATCCTGGCCTGCTCGAGGCTGCCGTTTTCTCTGACAGTTTCAATCAAAATTGGAAATC